TTTCCGTTGCTAATCTTATCATAAAAGTACTTTGTTCCGAGGCCAAAGCAAAAGGGGGAATTGAGGAAACGTTAGGGGTTATTTGAGAGCTAAAGGGGGGGAGGAGGTGGGGCAAGATTATCAGGGAGACGAACAAGGGAGCCGCGGAGAAAGACAAAGGAGAATAAGGAGGTATTTTGAGGCATCCGTTGCTTCCTGGGTTTTTGAAAATAGTAAGTCATGTCAGGTCGCGTTGTTCCCAGTGCAGTTAGTATTGTGCCTCACATTCAGCAGGTTCCGCGGTTTGTAGAATGAAGGTTATTTTGGGGGCAATGTCTAACCTGTTGTATGCTGGGTCTTGCATCATAATCAAATGTCATCATCCAGTCGATGGTGCATCGGCATGCCTGGCTGATCTGTAGCTTCCTCGAATAGCGATAGGAACGCTGACGCTGCGCTTCCACAATTACATCGTTGCTTGCCACCTGCTCATTATAGGGCATTTTGTTGTTGACCAGTACGAAAGCAACAACTCCGAGCGACCTGCAAACGAATTCCTCTTTCTGCTTGTCTCATTATCGCGCCTGTTAAAAAAAAGCTTCTGTTCTGCGTCTGCAAATGTTAGAATCATGTGCTTGAAACCGTGCTATTCAGCGTTATACCTTTTTAATCATGTGCGTGCGTGACGACCGCATTTGTTTGATGGTCATTTGGCTCATCCTATAAGCGTGCAAAGTGCGGAGTGGGCCCACGAAGTGCTTCGTTCTGGAGTTAAAGCATCGACGTCTGTCAGTGCTCTATGAAATTAAAAGAGTAGTTTCAAAACGCTTACTTCACAACCTTCTCAGGCCAAAATCTAGAAACTTTTTTTAATTCACTTTTTCCGAAGCTGTAAATTTTCCTTGGCGTAAAATTCGTTCTCAGCAGCTTACCGCAAACAACCATTCATTATCTTCATCTTAGGGATCTTTGCGCTAACCTGATAGGCGTCAACGTTCTTAATTTGAAAAATATTCAAAGAGTGTGTGTGGCGCATAGTGCTGGATGCAGAGAAGGATAGAGAGGGGAATGATCGACAGTCATCGAATTTAAAATGATTGCACTGGATTTTATTGGTCTTTAATCGAATATAAAATCGAATTTGAAATTATCTGAGTAAAATGTGGGACATCCGAAATATCCGAGTGGTCGAGTTGCAGTCCCCTTCCTTATTTGGATCCAGAAATCCTAATTCGTTTGACTCTAAACTGACTTAAAATGGAAAGAAATGAGAGCTGTGATTTTGCTGACGTCTTTTCTTTCCCGGATTCATAGAAGCGCCAGGATCAAGAAAGTGTCGGAACGAGTGAAACGTCCATGCAAGGAGTTACCAATTCGTAAGTCCCAAGAGTAGGGTTACGCACTTTCGCAGACTTACCAGACGTCAGCTTTGAACGGTGGATATGGCTGTCCAAGAAGGATTTCCGGAGCGGAATACGATTTCGAT